CAGAATTTTTTGTGACTTATAATTAATACTGATATATGTTTTAGCTAGTTATATTTTATAAGTATTGATGGATTTTTTTTTCTTTTTCTGATAAAGTGTATTGATGGAATTCCAATGTCAAGAAGCACGTACGTACGCTATCACTATATTTACTGCATCTTAAGAAAAAAGATCTGATTTATCATGAATGATGTTACTTTTTTTTTACTCTGGCATAAGTACTATATCAATATTTCTTATATTCTATATCGTTTGTAAATGTGATAATTAGGTTTATGCATTTATAAAAGTCTTGTATTCATATTTACTCTCCTAAGTATCGCTAGTTGAACTCCGCTCTTGGGTGTAGAGGGCACGTCGTGACACTAGCTAGCCCTAAATTATGTTCTTATGCTTGGGTCTCGGGCTACCGGATGAAAGAACTTCCTTTAGCAGGGTTTGGAGTGTCATCGACCGTTCAAGTTGCTTCTCTTGTTTTGGCCTCTCAATTGATATTCGCACAAAGAAATTAGGAACTTTATCGCTACTTTCTCGGAACATGTTGCTTTTCGGCAATGTATTCCGAATGTGTACCGATTATATCGTGGTTCAATGGTTTTAACCTTTTTTGCCATTAAATCATGTTTTATAGGCATACCTATTTGTTCTAGTAACAATTTGTAATCCTCATTGATTATTTTCATAAATAATATTTACAATTTAGCAATAAAAAAAATCTTCTCATTATGTTGGGCTTTAAAATTGTCGCAGCAAGGTACCGCATGGCACAAATGATTATTATGAATTTTTTTAAAGAAGGTTTGTATCCCTTCCTATTAAAAGGCAAGTAGTATTATTTAGGTTTTTTAGATGTTTTAATTTGATTGGTTTAAAATTATGACATGTCTTGAAAAAAAGATAACATGTCTTTGAAAAAAAAATGATATGGTTAAACTAATTAAATAGATAATTTTTTAATTGTATATTCTTATGCATTTATAACCTTTTATGCATTAATTATTGTTTCTAAATTTTGATTTTTGTACTACAATTGTTTGACAAAAAAGTCAAAGTTATTTTCTTATCCAAAAATCAATTAAAAATATTTTCTTATGAAAACGATAATGAAATTCACTATTTATAATTAATTATTTTTGAACAATACTAAGCGAGGTTAATTTAGATCA